TGCCATATATTTATATCGTTTCTGACCATGACATTGCCAGCCTTTGTTTAGTGGTCTAGCGACTTGGTGAATTCAGGGCTACTCAATGTGTGGATAGTTACATAAATGACCTTTTAAGTTACGACTACTTGACAAAAAAAAAAACTAGTTATTTATCATTGTGCCAAATTCACCTGGCACCTTAGAAGTGAATTTCCTACCACTGCCTGGGCCTGATAGTCCGGTTATCTTCAGATAATGTGGAAATATATTTTGTATTGCATGACTTAAGTCAAAATTACTGTTAAGTGTGTCATTTAACTTTCTGGACGAACCAGTTAATATTGATGTAATTATTTCACCATTAATATAGTTTCTGTCTTGTAAACATAAACAAGTACTTGTAAACATAAACAAATACTTGTAAACATAAGCAAATACTTGTAAACATAGCAAATACTTGTAAACATAAACAAATACTTGTAAACATAAACAAATACTTGTAAACATAAACAAATCTTACAATAATGTAAGACAACAACAAAAAACAAGACGAGACTAGGAGCATTATATATATACTTGTTCTCGGTAGGTAAACGCTCACCACCTCAAGCGTTTGCATTCACTCACTTTCACATGAGCCAGACACGTCCACAGTGTTTATACACCACATGCGTCTACATTCCTTTCTCATAAAATAACTATACAAATCACGATGCCATAAGCTACCTCGAAACATAAAATGAAGTAATAATAATTTACAAATAGTGGAATAACATAGTAACTAGGCTCCCACGGAATTTTTTTTCAAAATAAATAATAATAGTGATAAACAGGGATGACACATTAGGTGACATTTTTCATGGCTTCACAATAAATTAAAATCTATAAAGGAAGAATGTTACTCAGTATTCCATCACACTTTTCTCCTGGAGTGTACACTCCAGGATATGTACAGGGGCTACATAATGTGCCCATGTACATAGCCTCTAGAGTACGCTAGAATATCGTCCTCTATTCTTGTGTATAATCTACATTCCCGATGCATATATATATCGTACTTTGCCTGCCCAATACGCGGCATATTGATCTTTGTAAACCTTATTCTAGAGTTTATTGACCTCTTCCCTGCCGCACCTCAGAGTAGGCTTATGCAGACCTCCTCTACACCACACAGGAGAATATTATAGCCTCTTCCTGCCCTTATCTATCTTGTGTATACTCCTTAACTCTCACATATTTCTAGGCCATAGTGATCCACTGGGGATCACCGTGTCCTACGATAACGGTAAAGTGCCAACTTGGCAACAATCCCTGCCTGGAGGCGCTGCAAATGTTCTGATGAGTTTGGAAACATGAAATTCATGAAATTCATAAATGGTGGCCGAGGAATGGATGGACTTCTCTCACAGCTCGCGTACCAGCTTTCTACTTGCTTTCATGAGTCACTCCTACCGCCTTCTCTAAAACTTTCTCTTGGGATGACTGCTACTTTTTCTCTTTTATTTTGTGCATCTGCACTTGTGCAGCTACCTCAAACTATATAATATATATATATATATATATATATATTGTAGTATAGACAAAGAAGCCACAGCTTTGCTGGAGGCAGCAACAACCCCCAGTGATCGTGCACGCCTCACAGCTGTGCAGGCTCCCCATGCAGGGGACTTCCTTCTGGCAGTCCCTATGTCTGCGACAGGCACACGTCTTGATCCGCAGGAGCTCCGTATTGCAGTCGCTCTCCGCCTTGCTGCCCCTATCCACACTGTTCACAGGTGTATTTGCGGCGAGGCAGATGCTGACGAATATGGATTGCATGGCCTGCACTGTGGAAAATCGGGTGGTTGGCACACTAGACACGACGAAGTCAACGACATCATTAAAAGAAGCCTTGCCTCTGCTCAGTGTCCAGCGGAGAGAGAGCCCCGCAACCTACTGAACCGTGACTCTGTTAGCTTTGCCGGCCGACCAGACGGAATCACACTGCGTCCGTGGAAGGGTGGCAGGCAGTTAGCATGGGACTATACTTGCGTATCCACCCTGGCAACGACATACATCACCCTCTCTGCCGGCACGGCAGGAGCCGCAGCGACACACAGAGAAAAACAAAAGTCAGTCAAGTACAGGCAATTAGATCAAAGGTACAATTTCGTTCCAATAGGGTCTGAGACCCTAGGCCCATGGGGTGAGAGTGCAAGAAGGTTTCTTAAGGATCTTGGTTCCAAGCTCATTGACACCACAAGAGACCCTAGAGCAGCAAGTTTTCTCTTTCAGCGCCTCAGTGTCGCGATCCAGAGGGGAAATGCCCGCTGCATCCTCGGTTCCTGCCCGGCGTCGGAGGAGTTCGAGGAAATCTACAGCCTCTAGGAAGCGAACTTTTTCTTGTGTCCTCTTAATGTTCATTTTTTGTATAAAATCAGATATGTAACTATATATATATTATATATATATAATATATATATATATATATATATATATATATATATATATATATATATATATATATATATATATATATATATATTACAACACCAGAGTCAGTCTGGTGTTGACAAAGGCTTTAACAAGCCGAAACGTTCACCTCATTTCATATTTCTCTGTGGATTTTCCGCATATATATATATATATATATATATATATATATATATATATATATATATATATATATATATATATATATATATATATATATATTTATATATTATACAAGAGTTCTTACATTCTTGTAAAACCACTAGCACGCATAGCGTTTTGGGTAGGTCTTTAATCCTGTTTTATTCCCCGGAATACGACCAGTGAAATCGTTTAACAACCAGGTAGATATTTACTGTTGGGTGAACAGAGGCTACAGTTAAGGATTGGCACCCAGTCACTCCTCCCCAGCCAGGATAAACTAGGATTACCGAGTGTGTCAAGAAACAACTACGTGATGCTAAAAATCCCCATTACACAGGATGGTTAGTCATACACAACTGTGCAAACTGGAACTAGCAGGTCCATTGTTCATCACAATGAAATGTGTGAAGTTAGTTCATGCAAGGCTTAAGCTCCGGTTAGGCTAGGTAAATTATTTACAAGAAGTGTAAATAATAAACTAGATGTGAATGGGTGAAATGTTGAATGAAACTGGTGCGCTGAGAAATCTGGGAGTGACCAAGGAGTTACGTGACTGCGGCCCTAAGTGTGTGGGCATTTAAGGTCAGGTATGACTCTTCTTACAGACAACCCTGGAGTTGTAAGAATAGTTACGGATAATATATAATGCATGTGTGTGTATTTACTATTTATGCCTGCAGAATCGAGCTATTAGCTCTTGGACCCCGCCTTTCTAACCAATCTGTTTTTCCTCTATTATGTCTACTACATATATTTCTGTTTAACACATCCACACATCCCCAGGAAGCAGCCCGTAGCACAGCTGTCTAAGTCCCAGGTACTTATTTACTGCTAGGTGAACAGACGCATCAGGGTGAAAGAAACTGCCCATTTGTTTTCGCCTCCGCCGGAAATCGAACCCAGGCCATTAAGACTACGACTCCCAAGCGCTAACCACTCAGCCTCAAACCCCTTATAAACAAACAACCCTGTGTGTGTTTGACCTAAGATTGCTTATACAACTGATGCAATGTTATTGGTCAACTAAATATAATATTTTTGGATAATTTGGAGAACCCGATACCTGATATTATCTTCCAAGGTGACTTCAACTTGCCTAGTCTCAGATGATACCTGGTTGATGGGGTTCTGGGAGTTCTACTTCAAGCCCGGCCCGAGGCCAAGCTTGAAGCAACAGCCTGGTGGACCAAACTCTCACAAGTCAAGCTTGGCCTCGTGCCGGGCTTGGGGAGTAGAACTCCCAGAACCCCATCAACCAGGTATCAACTAAAAGAAACGAATTTTTATATAAATTTAATGTCGACCTTTTGTTTGATGTATGATCCACTGTCATGTGTGACAGTAACTATGACCGGCACTCTCACTGCTCTAAGACCTGGCCGAAGTACTCGGACAAAACGGTATGTACATTTTGTTCATATAAGACAGACATTATATTAATAAGGTTGGGTGTAGGTCACCAGAAAAATAAGTCGCGCAATTAACATAGCAGTATTCAATTCGTATGTGTTTATTGTTTAATTAAATAAGTAATCTTGAACTATAGTTTAGTCAAAAAGCTCAGTACTTTTCATATTGCTGTCAACTTGACCTGAAGGTGTTGGGTTAGATGATGACTTATTTAACACTTAGCCTTAAAAGGGTTCTACTGGCTTACGATCGTAAATTTATGCCTCTTGTGTTTATATATCATGGATGCTACTGTTTACCTTGGCTCTTGGCTTACTTTGTAGCCTTAAAGTGGTGTTTTGTCTACCCTCATGAAGCATGCACCAATCTACCCACCCCATACACAGTTTCAAATGTAGATATGATAGAGCTCAGTAGGTTCAGGCACCAGTACGCCAGTTGACTGAGAGTTTAGTGACTGACAGTAGGCTGACAGACTGACAGGGACCAAAGAGTCGAAAGCTCAACCCCTGCAAGCACTTGACGCATTCATCCACACACACGCATCCACCCACCGAAAACATTTCCACACCTGCCGTCGTTCGACTCCCGCATCCATCCCTGACCTGATAGGCTACCCCTATCGTCTCACCCGCTTCCCTTACCCATGTAGCAGCTAGCTGTTCAAGAACAGAACCTCCCTCTTGCCCCTGGGTGACGCTGTAACCACGTGTCCCCCCCAGGGACGTGCCAGTGGACGTGTCACAGGAGCTTATTTACATATATGATAGATTCCTATCACAAGTTTCCTGTTTGACGCAACATATGTGAGACCAAGTAAATGTGTAGCAAGCAGAGTTGTCTAATTCACGGCATGATCCGGGTATATATATATATATATATATATATATATATATATATATATATATATATATATATATATATATATATATATATATATATATATATATGGACGTAATGGATATTATTACGTGCTAAGTGTAGTGGCTTACCTTATAGGAAAGGTGGTTTTCATCTTGTAGAGTTCTTGGTCCCCTGCTGAAGATGAAGTCACAATTCGAGTAGAATATAATTTCAATTTTTTTTTTCCAATGACGTCCGATCGAGAGTTTGATGATTAGGGTTTCCTTATATGTTCTGGCGAGCGACACCTGTATCCAGGTTAAATTATATCCTGAACACTTGTTCCACGACTCTCGTACCTCACAGACACTTGCACCGTCACTCGCATCCACTGACAAGTGTAAGGTGTACAGAATGTGGCCAGGTTTGTGTGGAGGTGGAGGGGGGAAAGAGGAGTAAGGTTGGTTACACACCCGACACACGTGCTTGTCTCCACACTACTGAGGAGTTCTACACCCGCTACACCTCCCAGGCTCAACCCACACGCACATAGAAAACGGACTGTTGTGTTCCATGTCAAACCATGTTATACCATGAATTGTATCTAAATGGGGTTCTGGGAGTTCTTCCACTCGCCCAGTCCGGCCCGATGTATATTGAAAACACATGTAAATAACGGGTATATAGAGAGTTTACATTAGGCTTGAATTGTATTCAAGACTAAGCTATGCCAGAAACGCTTTGCGTAATAGTGGCTTTAAGCATTGTATGTACTAGCTCTATCTATAACTCCATCAATCTTTGTAAAATCTCTTGTATGTATGTACCTTACCTAAATAAACATTTATTATTTATTATTATTACTATACTTAACCTAAGGAGTGAGGTGATGGAAGCAGACTCCATATACTGTCAAATGTAGATATGGTAGAGCCCAATAGACTTAGAAACCAATGACAATCATTTTGAGGCAATGGTTTTTGCATTCAGGGATTCACCGGAACGCGAGTTTGTCACTCAATTACCTCAAAATTATTTTCATCGATATATCACGCCATTGTGATTTCTAAGGATTTTTTTAAAGAAATAAGAGGATGGGCTGGAATAATATACACGCGGTTGATATAGTGGGTCCTTATATAATGGAGAAAACACCAAAACCAGACCAATAACTCATTTAAATTAATATTAACCCTACGATATTTCTGGCCACCTTAGCCCCTACCTTGAGGTGCTTCCGGGGCTTAGCGTCCCCGCGGCCCGGTCGTCGACCAGGCCTCCTGGTCCTGGCCCCCTACGGTGTAAACATTACCTAATTTATTCACTCGGTGAAAACTTTATTCGTAAACGATTGTACATATTTAATTGAGTTTACACAAAATGTCAGTACATTAGTTACTAAAGAGGAAGTCAAACCATGTAATCTTTGCAATTATATACTACAAGTTGTATAATATAGATTCAGGTCATACCTATTAGGAGGTGTTGTACATGCTGCTATGGCGGTATGTCCACTCACAGGATGAGTGACACTGCCCAATACTCTCGACCCTTGGTGCAAAATTAAAAACTAAATTAATTCAAGTTATTTACAGCTGTGGCTGGAGTGAACAGGTGCACAACCAGAGAAACTTAAATACATCCAAAGACTATCAGATTAACCGGGCTGTGATTCATGCATCAGGCTGCGAGCCAGCTACATCGTCAGACAGCCTATATAACTGACTACCAACCAAGAGACCTGATCGGAGATTGGACCGCGGGGGACATTGATCCTCGGAAGCAGCAAAAGATAAACGGCTACCATGGTCTGGGTGTGATGGGTATGGGTGTGATGCTCGGTCCACAGCGGACAGATTGCGGAAGTCGTATCCAAGCGCTTTGTTTATTATTAAATATATTGATCATTCCTGAAACTTAGGATTCAATTCTCTATCATATTCTTACCTAACGGAGGTGCATTAGCCTCGATAATATACTGAGGTTTTTGTGTGTATAGACCACCCGCTCGACTGAGTTTTAAACATGGACCATCCATGGTGTACATTATGTAAACATTCACCTGCTTAGAAACAGTTAATGATACAGACCGATTCCGGGGTGAGTGGTGGAGAGGAATGAGAGTATGCGGAACACGCCAACTCAACATACGCACTTGTCTGCTGCTATAGATGCCCAAGGCTGAACTTGGTGTAACTAGATGAATGATGTACTCTTGCCTAAGAGGCATTCCGTATGATCGGAAAATATATATATATCGGAGGTAATATATAAGATTGAAAGTAATATATATTTTGCAAATATGGGAAAGTTTGTGCGTTTGCGGGACGTTATTCGAGGGAAGTGAGTTGCCAACGTTGCCACTTACTGAGTGCTGAAGCCAGGCAAGTGAGGGGGGTACAGGTGGGTTGCAAACGTTGTGTTTGCAAATATTGCAAACAATATCAGCTATTGTTTGTGGTCCATACTGCGCCACACATCCAGAGGAAGCCTCATGTTAATAGAAAATCCACCACATTAAAAGAAAAAATAATTGTCATCATTACGATCGGCATTTCAGAATAGGTTTATGAGAAAGATGTATATCAGAACGTTTCATAATTCCGAATATATATAAATTTCTGTAAACCGTAATTTTAAATCACGTAATATGGTTAGTCATGTACGTACACCCAGGACCTATATGGTGTGGCACCTGCGTACAGAAGACTTATATGGTGTGGTACCTGTGTACAGAGGACCTATATGGTGTGGTACCTGTATACAGAAGACCTATATGGTGTGGTACCTGTGTACAGAGGACCTATATGGTGTGGTGCCTGTATACAGAAGACCTATATGATGTGGTACCTGTGTACAGAGGACCTATATGGTGTGGTACCTGTATACAGAAGACTTATATGGTGTGGTACCTGTGTACAGAGGACCTATATGGTGTGGTACCTGTATACAGAAGACCTATATGGTGTGGTACCCGTATAGAGAATCTATATATAGTGTGGTACCTGTGTACAGAAGACCTATATGGTGTGGTACCTGTGTACAGAGGACCTATATATTGCATAGTACCCATGCACAAAGGACTTATATATAGCGTGGCACCCTCCTTCATGCAAAAACAATAAAGATTCCACCTCCTTCCGTTTATCATTCTGTAGAAACGTTTTGGACACATACGAGGACTGCCAAGCAACGGTCAGTGTCCGGAGTCAACAGAGGGTCACAAAGATGCCGCCAACGTAAATCTGTTGTCTTAAATCTACACACAAATACTTGTTGCTTCCTTGTCCCCCGACACAGTGAATTATTATTATTTACAGACAACTTTTATTAAAAATGTTCAAGAAATGTCTTAGCGTTATATATTGTCCACAGTTGTAGCCAAGTACCCAAAGTTTGTGTAGAGCGAGTAGTGCATACAACTCATGAATAAGTGTTATTCCCGATGTGGCTGGTTGGTACAATGGCGGCCTCGCTTCTAGCAAGTCTGCGTTCGATCCCCGATGATCTACGTGGTTGGGCACCGTTCCTTCTCACCATCCTCATACTTCAACTCCTTGTCCTCACATTCCTTCAAAGCCCTGTATAGTTATAAGGCTGGATAATTACCTTATCTCTCCTTGTTGGAGACAAGAAGATTATGTTAATCTTATCGAGGTTCATTAGGCCATTTATACTGGCCTTCCCCAGGATGCCCAACCACTTGGACTGGACGGTAGAGCGACGGTCGCTCCATGCAGGTCAGCGTTCAATCCCCGACCGTCCAAGTGGTTGGGCACCATTCCTTCCCTCCGTCCCATCCCAAATCCTAATCCACACCCCCTTTCTCAGTGCTATATAGTCGTAATGGCTTGGCGCTTTCCCCTGATAATTTCCTTCCTTCCTTTCCCCAGGATGCAACCTGCAACAGACGCCTAATTCCCGGGCACCAGAAAAAACGTGCCCAACCGTTTCTGTCCTGGTCGAGGATTGAACCCGGGTCTCTTCATTGCAAGTCGAGGACATAAACTACTGTGATACCACTCCTCCGCCAGCCACTGGATGGGTCTCATTTGCATTATAAGACAATTAAAACTATGTAACAATTGCAATACATTGTTCCGCTGAATGAACATGGCGGTCCGATGTATAAACCCTATATGTATTTCTGTAACCACTCCTATATCACCCACCGGATGGGTTTGCTGTCCAACCTGGCGCCGCACCGCGGGGGTGGCGGCGGCGGTGGTAGATGAAAGGACACAAACATTGCCATTTAGGAGTCCAGTTAACGCGCTTTCCGTCCATTTTCTCCCACGGTACAGAGGGTCGCCCATTAGGGAAGGAAGGGTATTAGCGGCTCGTCTTAGAATGTCACAACTAGCGCCCGTGTGGACGTCTGAGGGCGTTCATATCTCAGTGTCGACACTCTTATTAGTTTAGATTTAAGGTCTGTTGTCTGCCGGAAACATTAAGGCCACGAACTACGATGTTTTTAAATTTTCAACAATGCTTTTTAACTCTTAGCAAAGTTGTAAATTAACTTGAGCATATATAACTACATATATTGAGAAATAAACTCGCTCCAAGCAACAGCCTAGTGGACCAAATTCTCACAAGTCAAGCCTGGCCTCGGCGGCCTTGGGGAGTAGAACTCTCAGAACCCCATCAACCAGGTATCAACCGTCTTGATTTATTGAATGTTGTAGGATACTGTTACTTTAGATGACCTGCTGGCAGTTAAAACACCTGACGCCTGACAGCTGAGTAGACAGCGCTTCGGATTCGTAGTCCTGAGGTTCCGGGTTCGATCCCCGGTGGAGGCGGAGACAAATGGGCAAAAAGTTTCTTTCACCCTGTTGCCCCTGTTACCTAGCAGTAAATAGTTACCTGGGAGTTAGACAGCTGCTACGGGCTGCTTCCTGGGGTGTGTGTAACAAAAAAAAAAGTATCTGAATCATTTACCCAGCATAGCTAAAGAGGCCAGGATGTTGTTTTTGAGCTCTGGAGATCAAGACATTAGATTGAAAACTCCTTCAATCTAATCTTTATTGGTAACAGGGAGAGGAACATCCTCCCCTCTCATACCCCCGCCGACGAGGTAAACACCGCGGCGCCGGATACACGGTAAATAATAGTATACAACCCGTCATAAACAGCTCCTGACTCGTTGACCTGTAAGCGGTGTTGTGACGAGGCTCCGACAACAGGTAGCGCCTTCCCGCGCCCCGTCACCCCCAGGAGCGGCAGGCCTTTGTCGGGTGAGGCACGCGGCCGCCCACACTCAACCACTCTGTATAAACACAAACATGGTAGCATATATGAGCATACACATTAGATATTAGAAAGAACATTTTTAGTGTCAGAGTGGTTGACAAATGGAATGCATTAGGAAGTAATGTGGTGGAGGCTGACTCCATACACAGTTTCAAGTGTAGATATGATAGAGCCCAATAGGCTCAGGAACCTGTACACCTGTTGATTGACGGTTGAGAGGCGGGACCAAAGAGCCAGAGCTCAACCCCCACAAGCACAACTAGGTGAGTACATACATGATGTAGTGAAAGCATGTGGCCCGTTCACAAGACTAACAAAGGTTAAAATGGATGCATACGATCGTAGGTGATATATTAAAAATGACGGTTGAATACCCACCATTTTTTTCCTAGTTTGATGCCGTATGATAATAACGCCGAACTAATATTCCCTTTTGTCAGCTTATAGCTAGTTAGTCGGGGTATCCGGCATTGCCCGGCTCTCTCTTCCCCCTCCCTCTTTCCTTTCCCAATCTTCCCTCTCATCTCTCTTCCTCTATCCTTCCCTATCCATCTTTCTCCCCTTCTCTCCCCCAACATCCACTTCTCCTTCCACTCCCTCTCAGAAAATTTAATATTGAAACACTGAAATGCTGCTAAAAAGTCCACGGAACTCACATCCCAAATTACCAACCGTGAAAATAACAGGGGGAAGAGGGGGTCGTTATAGATGTCAATATTTCTTCAAGGGTGGCACAGAGGCCGAACCCAAGTGGCTTACGACATTCACCTCCTCCCCTCCCATGTGTCATCTTGGAAAGTTGAGTGAAGCCAGCGTCTGGCTTTCTGCCTTGGACAAGCAGACACGCATTCTGTTTTATAGATATAGCTGAAGAAATTGCGTTTTAACGTAAGAAATATATACATCATAGCAACTAAGCATTTATGGTGTAACTATTGCATGTGATATTTTATAATTTGACAACTAGGATGATAAATAAATGAAAGTTGGTTTTGTTGGAGCATATAATGCAAGTTCTATTGTCAGGGAACGACAGTATCTATCGCCATCAATGTAAATGGACGATACTATAATTAAAGATGAGAGCGAGGCTGTAACATAGGATATTCAACCTAATAGACTAATGTGTACTTGGTATATAGCTAATTATTATAGATGTTGAGGTTAGATTAAGAGTCTGTAATTACGAACGTCACAAAAAAAGAAAAATGGCATTTGTGTTAAATGATATTAAAAGCAAAGATGGTATTTAGTGTAGATATCCACACTAAACATTAAAGGAATATTTAGTGTGAATAAAATGTTTTAACAGCTTACTGAAGGATACGCAGAAAACTGAAGGCTAGTTTTGACAGCAAGTATACAATCAAATCAAATCAAATGTCTATTCAGGTAAAAATAGATGCACACAAGATGAGTTACAAACATAATGTTGGATTTCTAGAAAGAGCCGGTGGCTGAGCGGGCAGAACACTGGCGCGTGATCCTGTGGTCCCGGGTTCGATCCTGGGCGCCGGCGAGAAACAATGGGCAGAGTCTCTTTTATCCTGATGCCCCTGTTACCTAGCAGTAAATAGGTACTTGGGAGTTAGTCAGCTGTCACGGGCTGCTTCCTGGGGGTGGAGGCCTGATCGAGGACCGGGCCGCGGGGACACTAAGCCCCGAAATCATTTGAAGATAACTTCAAGATAACCAAGCTAGTACATACAATGCCTAACATACGCACAGCGTTTCTGGTAACACCGCTAGAAAGCAAAGTTATCAATGTCGACACTAAACAAACTAATTATTGGCTATAATAAAAAGTATGATAAATTCATAATGTGAATAAACAGAAAATGTTAAATGTTATTTTTTTATGACTACTATGGTTCTAATTGATGGTAATACGTGAGGGTAAATGATAAGCCTTTCTCTTGCCTCTTACATTGTTACCACTCCTTAATCCTCTGATAATTGCAGTATATTAATGCACTGTGATCAAACTCGGAAACATAATGAAAGCACAATTTATTATAATAAAACGAGGAAATATGAGCTAGAAATATAGCCTATTTAGGCCTTTGACGTTATAATGGAGAGCTCACAGCCTATCAAGATGCTATGCTAATATTGAACGTGAGGAAATAATCGCGCAGTAGAAATCAATAATTAAATTTAAAAACTAATCGGCATTGCTATAAATTTTAATATTTTTTGCATAAAAACTTCCAAAGTATAACATGTAAAATATATCTTTTGCGGTAGAATATTAGACCGGCGTTCAATCCCCGACCGTCTAAGTGGTTGGGCACTATTCCTTCCCCCCGTCCCGTCCCAAATCCTTATCCTGACCCCTTCCCAGTGCTATATAGTCGTAATGACTTGGCGCTTTCCCCTGATAGTTCCTTTCCTTCCTTCCTTCCTGTTGTTGGGGACAGGAAGCCCGCATGCTTAGGCTTCCTCCTCATAGTTTCCTACCTTGTGCTTCAAACTCACACTGTATCTTGTACTGCCCACTTCCCCAATATTAGTACTTAAGACTAATTTAGTATTTAATCTTTACCAGTGTAATCACCTCTGCTAATTTATATTGTTGATATAAATCCTTGCTACAACGTAATTGTTCATGTTACCTGATATGTTAGATTAAGGACCTACCCGAAACGCTGTGCCTGTTAGTGGTTTTGCAAGAATGTAAAAATATAACACTAATGTAATTTCACCAACCTATTGTACCCTCTTGGAAATAAAATATTATTATTATTATCATCAGGGTTCCCCAATAAATATATATAGGGCCTTGAACCTAAGCCAATTACTGTCTTTCACGATGCAAATTATTGCAACTCACAACAATTAACTCCCGGGTACTTATTCATTAAGTGAACAGAAACATCAGGTAAATGGAAACTGAGTCCAAACGACTCCGTCCTGCTCAGGAATTGAGCTCAGAACGTTTAGATTATGACCCAAATGCGCAGCCTACTGCTCTACAGCAACAATTATTTCATCACGAATCGATTATTGCTATCTTATGACCATTGTAAGGGAACCACAAGGCTGTTTTTTTTACGCATTTTCCAGTGATTGAAGCAATTGACCGCTGTCTCCAACATAGAAATATTTAGCAAATGTGTAACCCAGCGAGTCTACCTTCCTTCATCGTGAACCTGTGTCAAGAAACAGTCGTCTACTTGGCAGGTTGTTTGATTTTTTTTTATTGTTGCCGCCGAAGGCGGCTAGTTTATTGTGCACCCCATACTCATCCTGTGAGCGGTAGCGCAAAAGCATTGCTTGTGTTAGAACTTGTCCTAACTCTCTCTAAAGATCATGATCGGGGAGCAAAAAATACAATTGATTAATCATTCATTTATTCAGTGATTCCTGGAAGTTAATTGGGAATGTATAATAGCTTGGATCGTAAAAGCGCTTTGATGTTCTTCAGAGATTGTAGTATGGATATTACAGGGAAGCTTATTGCCTAGATGTTATAGTGTGTCAGAGGTAAAGAATTGACGTTGATTTGTCGTCTTGTGGTATCAACCATCTTAACTCCCGGCTGGTGACAGTTGGTATTAACACCTCCCAAGCCTATAATTCAAATTTCACGGTCGAATGCCTCTTCTTTAATCGCGGACAGTTGTAAGCCGACGCAGCGGGAGGCAATTAACCCAATACAACCAGTGTAAGCAGTCCAGTCCCACCCTTATACGCTGCCCAATACCACCCGTATAAGCGGTCCAGTACCACCCGTATGAGCGGTCCAGTACCACCCATGTAAGTAGTCCAATACCACCCCTTAAGTTTGGCCCGACGGACGAGTTTATTGGGCAGCGCCACTCATCTTGTGAGTGGACATATCGCCATAACAGCATGTATAACACTCCTAATAGGTAGAAAACTAGCAGGGTTGTTCATCTTGTCACTTGTACCCAGACACAGCTGGGACTTGCTTAACTGTCTCAAGTGAACAGCTTATCGAACAAGAAGTTATCTTGCGGGTGCAAAATGGGGAAATCTTGCTCCAACCATTCTGGACTCTGCAAAAGAAAACTTTCAGATTTTTTTGGCGGCTTTGTTTCTTTAGTTTAAATCTATGCTTTTTTATTCTTGAACTTGCCGTTATTAAAAACTTGTGTGTATGTCATTACTTAATTAAGTGTAATTACAGGTTGAGAGTTATGCATGTGGTGTCCCATCTTTCCAGGGCTCTGTGTCATATAAAGCTTTGAAACAACTGATGATTTTGGTATCCATCATCTTTTTACGTAATTTTTTCCAACCGTCTGCCACTCTGGTTGCAAACAACACACTTTCCAGTTTTCTGTAATAGTAATAACTTGTATTGTTTGTCATATCCGTATTTTTTTGTCACTTTGAATATCATTGCTTTTGTTATCAAATCAAATCAAATCAAATACGTAATACGTAAATCAAATACGTAAAAAATAATTATCTTCCTCCCTCCCATTGATGGCTCCAATTATATATCTGTTGAGTTCGTGAATCTATTATTCTTCCAGATTAATACAGTATAACCACTCCCCTCCTCTCTTCCTGTCATCAAATTGCGACAAATTCCAAATGTATACTCCAACTACAATGTTAGTGGCTGCAAAAAATGTACCTATTAACACCAAAATTCGTAACACAATTCACAACCATTTGTCAGAGTAATGTAGAAGAGTACAGGCAGCCCTCAATTTGTAGTGATTATGTTTCTGTAAAACCTTTGTAAATCAATCCTAAAGGTATATTAGAAAAATAGTTATATTCTAGACTTCCAAAATTCTACTTTTTACTCAATAAAACACCAATTTGAACATCAATATTTAATGCTTCCCCAGGTATTTTCCAGCCACAAATACAACTCTAAAAAAAAGTCCAAAATGCTTGGAATGTGCAGTGATGCAAGAATATAATACAAAAGTTTATAAAATGCATAAATGTGGTATGTGTGTGGAAACCCAACACACTGCCAAAAATATGGTAGACCCACATATTGTCTAAAAACTGTGCTAAACAATGCACTGTAGAAACTTATGCATGCACTTCAAACCTTGGTGTATAAGTGCTTAACCAAATACCTGTACCACTGAATCTTCATTTTCAAAGATCGTGCAATATACATGATGAATTTAAAGTTGCTGTATTGGTTTATGCCGATTACTTGTTGACACTTTGGAGTTTTTCTACTACACAGTCTGAGCATACTGATCTACAAGGCTGTTTGTAAGTTTATATAGCCATCACAGCCAGACAAATTTGGTAACTCGAGCAGAAACTTATCAGTTTCTTCCTTGAAAGCCTCTATCTTTGTTCCAGCTATATTTCTTATAGTACAGTATTTGCGGGTAGAAAGTTCAGCTGAAGAGTAGTGAACCTCTGATATTCATACAGTGTTCTCTTACGGCGTCAATGTTCTCTTATGGCATCCCTAATTTTCACTGGATTCATTGTACACGTCCTGCCACATATTATTCCAGTACTTTGTTATAATTTGATTGTGCAGGTTTGAAACTTGATCTACCAGTATTTTCAAAGTGTGTATTATGAGATATCTTTCTCGTCTCCACTCCTAGTACTGTAATACAATTTGAGTGCTTTGAGGCAATCACAGTAGTTTAAATGTATGCTTATATTAGACAGGCAGTGAAGGAACTTTGTACTGTATATAAATAAGGGTATTATGTACTCTAGACAGAAATTAGCATCACAGATGCCATAACTGAGTGTGTGTACAGTAAATAGCTTCTGAACATTTACCTTTCAGTGCTTTCTATAAAATAAATCTATAAATAAATGACATGTTGACTAGAATTAAAGACAAAAAATAACAGAGAAATATAAATATATATGCAAGCTGAATAGTATATTAGTGATGATATAAAAATAAGGAATTAACCTGCTACAATATTAGTGTTCCTTACCCTTAAATTTGTTCAGTACGCATTCAGTAATATATATGACTAGCGGGTGAAAGCTATTCTCGAGGTCATTCCAGTTTGGATATCCCTGATTGCCATGGCAATCACGGCAATGAAACTTCACACAGGTGAGGATACAGGTTGGGACCATTGTTCAGTACGCATTCAGTAATATATATGACTAGCGGGTGAAAGCTATTCTCGAGGTCATTCCAGTTTGGATATCCCTGATTGCCATGGCAATCACGGCAATGAAACTTCACACAGATGAGGATACAGGTTGGGACCATGAATATACAAGTGAATGAGATATCTAATATTTATAAACCCTGGAGTCATAACATCACAGAATATACCAAACAATCCTACCGTATAATATAAGCATCACTCGGATTCAGATTTATCCAAATATATGAGATAAACCTATTGATTATCAGACAATGAACACTGGACTGGTCCTGTGGGATTGAATACTGAACTGGACAGCTGGGTTATCATCACCTTACAACAGACTGGGAAAGTAGTAGTACCTGCATCCAGCTGATGCTGCCCTACCCTATGAAAGTGTTGATTGATGAATAGCAATAAACCCATGCTTTATTGTCTGTGATAACGAATAGCCATCAATCCATGCTTCATCATATGTTATCATGTTTTGTATGAAATAAGGATTAAAAGCATTAGGTAGAAGTTCCTGACAAATGGATGAATCTGTATCTACTCTTCAGTTAGTAGATAAGGGTAGAAGTAGAGTGCTATATAGCTTGTGAAACTAGTTGAGAGTCAATGATATTTAGCTGTATGGTTACTGGCTTTTATTTCTAGGAGACAGTGTACCTGAAGACAATTTGCATTAAAAATATATTTTTTTGTGGAGTTATATATTATTATAATCATACATAAATATTAAAATAAAATTTAGTGTAAATACTATACAAACACTATAACACACAGAAAATTGCACTGATTGTTTAACTAATGGATAAATACAGGGATATCAGTTTATTCAGTTTCACTGGTATAACTTCCTTAGGAATAACAGGGAACGGATTCATAGTGGATCTTGCGTAGCCTTTGCTGGCAAAGTGCAGGAGACAAAAATGTCAGATGAACAGTACTTATTGTCAGGAATACAGTTAAGCAAGTGGCTTAGCATACGCAGTATGAAGAAACCTTTTTGTCCTGAATAAATTTGTTACACATGGCATTATATTACTTTCGAGACCACAAGACATAGTGGCCCTCAGGTAAATTCAAGTAAATACGTACAGGTAATAATAATAACACAATTTTGCTAGAAGGCAAAGTACAGTGTATTAGTGTTTTGAACAATAATGCAGTGTGCTTTCCACATGAAACTTGTCACTAATTTTATCAATCTTGTAGAACCGTGTTTTTCATATCATTTTAACTTTGACAATTGTTTCTATAGCCTAAATAAAAAGCTGATATGAAAATGGGGTATCTTCTTAAGTGCTATTTTGGCTAATCTGTTCTTGGAACACCTTGTAGTAGGTTTTTAATACTTTTCCACTTTTGTTGTGTGAAATGATTTTGTCATGCTGACAACATACAATATTTGTAATAGCTCCCCAGAAGTTTGACTTAAGTATTCTGAAAGTTAACAATATTGTGATTCTGAATGATTCAGTACCGGACAGTATCTCACTAATGTTAAGAGTATCTAGTATGAGGATCATTTGAACTGGTTCCTTTAGTCTGTAACTTTGTAAAAAACCAAGACAAGAAGAAAAAACTGAAGGACAGGAAGCCATGCATTTCACCACTTGTAAATACTGTACTAATAAGACATACTTAGGTGTGTTTTAAGGGTGTTAAAGCACCATCTTAGCATAAGTATGGCCACAGAACCTTTAATATGACCAATGTAATTCAGGCATAATGTTCATCACATTAGCTTCAATACAGCTAACTTAGTGAAGTCTGAATATAATGCTATGAAATACAGATATAGAGAATATGCTTGCTTTCCAAAAATATTAATACAAATAAAGTTTCTTTATAGTAGTCAAACCACTTACTTAATTAACTACAGTAACTGTTGGTTAGAGATAAGTCTGTTTTAGAGCAATTGTTGCTCGTCTGACATGTTGTTTTATCCAGCAGCTGGCTGGCACTCTACAGCAACAGTGCATATACATTCTCTCTTATTCTGGAAGGCACATCAACAAAACATTGAGTAAATTGATGCCTCTTTGCACACTTTTTTCATCGGCACAAATAACAATGTATAAATAGATAGAAAATGTAACTCTTTTTATTTTTAATAATCCACAGGCACCTTGGCAGCATGATATTATACAGACTGAATTTCAGTGTTAAAAATGTAGTAGACTACTAGAGTATAATATCCATTAGTTGTAGCAGCATTACAATATCGATGTAATGTATGGACATAATACCGTAATTTATTACAGTACACAGGCAACATTCTTAACTGGTATCCAATTTCCTCATGAATGTTAACATGTAAAATAAGACTGTTTTAACATTCATTTTACACATAAAAAGAATTACCAAGAGAAATTTACCCACAGAAGGGATTCGAAGACAGGATAGGAGCTAGGATATGTGGACGGAGGGGAGAAAGTGCCCAATGCCTTGGATCATTAGGGATAGAATGCACACAAGAATAAAATTGGTTTAATATTCATATCATACATAATGAGGTGTATCTCCTTGATTTCAAAGCAACACCAAGATGAGAGTATTAAGGGTCTTATTAAGTGTACATAATCTGCAACAAATAATCAACTACCATATTGTGTTCTTCTGTATATTTTTTTAATTTAAACTATTACTATTTTAATGGTTTGCCATTGAAGGAGTTATCAAATTGTAAATACACAGGGCTACTACTTATAAAGGAAAGAGGGGGTGGGGTGGGGTCAGTGATATGGAGGTAAGATCAGCGCTGCAAAGGCGAAGGGGGGAAATGAGTGAGGTCAGTGATGCAAAGGTGAAGGGGGGGAATGGGTGACGTCAGTGATGCAAAGGTGCAATAAGGTGAGAGACATGTGAGAGAGTGTGTGTGTCAATTTACATTGCTTCAATATTAATTTAGCACCCACTCCCTCATGTCTTACTGACCTCGCCAAACCTTCAGCTCTTTGACCTCACCCCTTCCCTCTCTTTACCCTTATAAGACTAGTCCTGTGAATCTCTCATTAGATTTGATGAAGCTCTTGCAAGCCAAAGACGTTGTCTACAAATAAAGTCCACACTCATCTTGGTGTTTTGCTCCATCATTGTCAGCACTTTGTGATCTCTTCAGCCATCTCCCTGGATCAATGCAAAAATTATGACCCATACTATGGCATCTAAATCAAGTTTGACTTCCTAGTCAACTGACCCCCCCTAGATAACTTCAACGATCATAACCCACATGGTCCAGTTAAGTTTGGCTTCCAAGTAAAAAAAAAAATTGTTGAAGGTTATTTTAATATTGGTACAATGTGATGTTTATATTGACACTTTTACAATCTGTATATAGATGTGCTTATTTCCTATACCCCTCTTTATATTATTTATGAGATAAAACAAGTAAAAACATTCTATATCCTGCTTTCCTTATTGCTAACATCAGTATTGCTAGAGTTGTACTAAGCTTCACCTCGAGCACAAATTACAGTAATGAAGACAAGTTCTTAGTACAGCACTCATGTCAATAACCTGACAGCTAGAGAAACACTGAATAAATATTAAGGCTGTACAACAAAATTGAACTACATGTCCCTGATCACCTCGGGCACGTTTAGTATTGACTAGATGATGATGGGCTTAAAAGTACTGTATCTCAATCAGAGGTACTACAGTATTGTACTTGACTTACATAGAAGGCACTATCCTGTACCATAATCCAAGTTTTATGATATCAGGGACACTGGTTCGATGCAGTCATACAGCCTTAGTCTTTATTCATAGATTCATCATTTGATAGTAATTTTCACTGTGAACATCTTCATTTTCATGGATCATCATCCATCTCAGATCTTGGTCTGCTGAATGTATCGGGATCCTGAAATATGTAAAACATTTTAAGCATACAATGCACAACACACCTCAGATTTTAGGGTCTAATTTATTTGAGTAAATGTAGATATGGCAGAGCCTAATGTGCTTGAAAACATGTACATCTGTTGATTAAAGGTTGAGAGATAGGACCATAGAGCTAAAGCTCAATCCTTGCAAACACAAATAGGGTAGTATTCAAACACTCTTCACCTTTTATGGTTTAAGTCCGACAATAATCTCAGTGTTTTACAATGACACCTCTTCATTGGGTAATGTTACAACATATAGTACTTCTTTCTTGTTATCATACTATTTGTGTAATATATCATACCTCATTCACAATCTCCACTCTTCACCACTTACACATTACAATACTGTACAATAAAACTGCCAACTTGAGACTTCATTTACTGTCATGATGGATCATTTATGGCTATGTGTATTAAACTGGACTAATGATAAAGAGTATAATAAAGTGCTCATGCTAGCTGCAGAAATATTTAGAGAATTGTACCTATGAACAAAGATGATCATTCCATTTTGTGTGCAAATAATATATATATTGTATTAAGAAGCACGTAAGAAAGTTTGTAGTAAAAAGTCTTCAATATATATCACTTTTTCTGGCTTCCTAAAACTAACTAAATTTTTGAATTAGTATAAGATATTTGACATAATGTAAGAACATGTGAATAAAGGAAGCTGCATAGGTCTACTGCCAAGTGAGGCAGCTCCTCAGAAGGAGTTTTGTGATATTTATCTTGTGAGATACAATTCCATACGTGGGTAGACAAAGACACTTAATAAGTTGAGCCTTTATTTAACGATTGGCTCATGTATGAGCTTTATCAAGTCTTAACAATAGAATACACATACCATACATAGTATGAATACACAGTTGAATTAAAGGCTTGTGTATATATATACTGACATATTTTTAAATCTTTCTCTGTCTAGTTTTATGGTAAAACAGCTACCAGTAGTCAAGCAAATTTATTTTGTGTTAGTTATCTTTGTGTTTTATATTTACTACACTACTTTCATACATCCATACTAGTGTTCAACTGCATCTAGTGCAAGATCTGCTGCCTCTAAGTGTTAATTTCCCACTGTGCCATTACTACTGGGTATCAGAGACCCCGTACACATTGAATTGTATGATCATGGATAAAGTGATCAAATATTTTTCAACACCATTGGTGAATTTAAACCATCAAAGTGTTGTCATTTAATTATTAGCTTTCTGACAGCTTTCACACATGGAAGACGCTAGTCTTGAAGTAGCTGATAAGACAATAAAAAAAAGGGCATATAGGAGTTAGCATTTTTGTAATGTGCCAACATGTTGCATTTAATGTACTGTATCTTCGTGCAAACATACAAGGAAGAAGAAAGCTATAGAGACAACAATTACACACAAAGACTTGTGCACAATTCACTCGGGCCACAGTATCCATGCACCAAAGCTAACCTTAAAATAAATGCACATTAAATCTAATAATTACTTGACGGTAAGGACACAGCTCGAAACAAATGTCTTAACAAATCGCGGAGGATATAGAAATGCAACATTCTCACAAAAGTTGAGATACATTTTATGTAGATCAGACAGTGTAAAGTACCAGTACTGTATAGTGTAAATACTTGTCAGGAAAGCAGTTTGTAAAAGCAACTGTAATCATATTACTTTTTTTTATGAGAAAATATTGAAGCAGTACAATGTGATACTGCTAGTTGTGGGAACCTGCTGTATGGGTAACAGCTTCTTTCCCGTATCGACCTACCTTGGCTTTGCGTCCTGGAGAGGCCACTCCAGACCAACACCCAGAGCACAACTCCATAGTCTCCTGAGACTGATGGATGCCTACTACTACAATGTGATTGAATCTGCACACCTTGACTCTTCAGGCACACACACTATCATGGCCCAATCGGTAGTGTGCGTTCCTGAGGAGTTCAGTTATGCGGGTTTGATCTCATCATACAACCTCAATATTTTCTTATAGCTATATCTCATAATTGTGATTACAATGTGCATCATTTTAGAGGTTGAGCACTAATCAGTTTTAATATGCGAGAGATACTGTAATTTAAGATGACCCATAGATCACCCACTTACACCAAAAATACCTATAACACACCTACATCATAGAATAAATCAAAACCAAAAACATGTTAAATACAAAAGTTATCTAAAAAGAAACAGCTGGAATCAAAATATAGTTTTTTGTTAAACCACGACTGTGGGCATACTAACAAAAATTTAAAGAATATATTTGTTAATTTTTGTTTTTAGGTCCTCATGTACAGACTGTGTTTTCAGGTCCTCGGGTACAGACTGTGGTTTCAGGTACAGTCCTCAAAATGTAGCACAACACAAGGGTAGAAATCAAGGTGCATCATAGGTAAAAACATTATATAGTTGAACACTAGTACAGTATGAAAACCCATACTTTGTGTCGGTATTTGACAACCAAAACTAAGTACTTTATCTCCAAATCAACTAAAAGTACCACCAAAGCATACCAAAAAATGATGCTATCTTTCATATTAACACCAGAACATAGCATTCAGTAGTTCCTACAGAACATGTCACTAAAGATGTGAAAGACTGATGCCAGTGCTTGGCCATAGTGGGAACTGCCCTATAAAAAAAAAAAATCACCAAACAAAGTGAAAATACAACTAAAAAAATACTGACACTTGTGATCATGTACAGTAATATAAGATTATAATACTCAATAATTTCTATGATAGAAGCCACCATACATTGAGAGGCCGATGTCAGTGGTCGGCAAGTAGCCACACTTGTGATTGACATGTATGTGTTATATTACCATTGGTGATTGGCATGTATGTTATATCACCACTGGTGATTGGCATGTATGTTATATCGCCACTGGTGATTGGCATGTATGTTATAGGAGCAATGCCTAACTACACTGAAAGGAAGGTCTGTATAATACAGATCATATTATAGATGTTTATACTGTACTGACAAATTTTCTTCATAAATGAGTGATATAATTTACCTGGCCAAAACACATGACAAGTGATAACATCAACTTCAGGAGGGTAGAAATAGCCTAAGCTACTCTATCCTTTTGAGATGTGTTTTATGGTCTCAATAAACATACTTGAACTTGATAACTTCAACTTTAACAGTCCATATATTTTGGTTAGTATCTCGGTATACTGCCTCTACAGACTAGTTTTGTGTTATTTTGTATATCAACTTTTTTCCTTTTTCAAACATGACATGTTCTAGCAAAAGAAATTAATTGTATTCTATATTCAATATACGCTAAAGAAAACTTTCTTTGGTGGCCAAAGACAGACAACTTTACCATACCTATTAAAATATTTCCTTAGATGTGGGGAAATGTCACCTGACTGTGTAACGTGCTCATCTCTATGATATTCCTTTTCCTTTCAAAAGCCTACCTGAATATGGTGCCGAACAAAAGATTTTGCTAATGTCTCATTTTCTCATTTGAAATTTGTTAATGTGTACATCAGAAAATTGTGTTCCCACTATATTTCTGATCTCAAGACTTATTGAGTCTTAATCAGTATTATGGTCAAGCTAATCTACTCAGCCTGCACAGATTTCTACTTGGTAAACATAACCAAGCCGACAGCCTCATTTACATTTGCATATTCATAAAAGACAAAAAAATCTTAAGTTCAACCAGTTTTGAACTAAACACTATCTAAATACAACCTTGCATTATTAGTAATTGTCAAGATAAGTACATTAACACTATTCCATACCTGATTTAATTTCTTGAATTCAACAAGTTGAGTGTAGACATACTCAAGTATGTGTTTGGCATCCCTTGACGTTGGTGGCAGAGTTGAAGTCACACCAAGAATATCTCCACATTCGCGTATATAATACTCCAGATCCTCATCTTTACATTTATTGGTTACCTGAAACAAAGAGTGAAGGCAATCTTAAAAAAAAAATAAAGTTAAATGAATGTGAAAGTAAATACTCAGATGATTAAGCAATAATTTGGCAGGTCTTCATAAACCATTCCTCCTGTGTGAAGTTGGTCCACATTTTTCTCTTCGCATATTTCTCGGCGGTTATATGAAGATCCGTTATCTGTATGTGATGCAAGGTTTGTGCATAAAAATGCTAAACACTGATGCATACCATTTCTTAAATATTTGCACCAAATATTACAACTAAAATCAAATATTAAAAATTATATATAAAGGAGTATTCAGTGTTACTTGCTTTAATACATACATAAAAAACGTTTAATAACACAGCATTCCTCACCTGTGCTAGCCTAGACTTCTCGGAGCTAAATGCTTCATCTAGGTCGAACAGCTCTAATGAAGGATGTGGCAGTTCACGGAATGAGGGAGGAAATACCTGAAGCAAAATAGTGTATCTTAATTATTTTCTTTTGTTCTCCACTCCTTTACGTACGGAAATAGGGCAGAATGTACAACAGGCCCCTCAACTGTGTTTATCTGTATATATCTCCTCAACTTTAAGGCTCAATCTTTAACCCCCTTAAACAGTTCGGTTATTTAAGTCCTACATCGTGGTGCACATGACAAAAAACAGTTCACCAAACAAATTTATAAACATCACATTTGGCAATTCAAGCACAGAAGGTAGACAGACAGTGATTGGAGCCATTTAAGGGTTAAATAACCCCCAAAGAACACTGTAATTTTATAGTACACAGCACCTACATCTTGATTAAAAGTACTGTACTTTATTATTAATTACACAGTTTCAAATACTCACTGCAGGTTGTAGGGGTGGCAATGGCGTTTCAAATTGTGGAGTAATGAGACGTAGAGGTTCATGTTTCACATTGAGTTTATTATAAGACTCTATTGATGCTGGAACTAGCAGCATGTCTATTGATGTCAGCTGTTAACAAAAATGACATTACATTTTAATGACAAAAAGTTTCTATACACTTTTTTATTTGATTTTATTGCCACAATTAAAACTGAACTGAACTATGAAAGGATAAGGTAGAGCTGTGACATTATAATCTGTGTAGCTTCGTCTCCATGGGAGGTGAAAACTTTAAGATAGAAAAGTTAGCAATGTGGTTTCAGGAACAAAATAACTATAAATATATACTGTATATACATACCAAACTGCAGCAATGTGCAAATGATTTATAAATAATTTACTGGTACTGTACTGGGTATTGAATATTCAATTTATGTAAAAAATTAAGTTTGTGAAATTGTGTGTAAACAGCACACGAGAAGTGGTATAGAATAAGGCTACTGTAGTTACAATCAATTTGTTAAGGTGTAGCAACTGATATTGTAGCTTACAAGAACACTAATTGGCAGTCCTCGGTTTGCCGAATAATATCAGGCATTCCATGGGTTGGCAATTAAGTGTTTGGAAAGGCTTTTCATATTCTTAATATTTGTATAGGCTGGATTTAGTCTTCTCCAAGCATTATAAGACTTGGCAAGGACAGTTTAAAAAAGATCTCGGCTGTGTTGATGCAAATTCTCACCCTGCTCTTGATAGTGTTTATACATGTTCTGGAGGAAAGAGGTTTTATGCCATTGGAAGTAACCTAAGCCTCATAAATAGATGTAGACCTTGAATATAATGCACCCATTGAAATAAATGAAAGTTAATGTTGTGGATGGACTAGAACAGTATATTATAGAGGTGTACAGGGAAATGGCAAACCAGTAGAGGAATCTTGGACAATGCACCAAGATCAAGTTTTACATATCTTGAGGTTATCTTGAGATGATTTCAGGGTTTTAGTGTCCCCGCGGCCCGGTCCTCGACCAGGCCTCCACCCCCAGGAAGCAGCCCGTGACAGCTGACTAACACCCAGGTACCTATTTACTGCTAGGTAACAGGGGCATTCAGGGTGAAAGAAACTTTGCCCATTTGTTTCTGCCTCGTGCGGGAATCGAACCCGCGCCACAGAATTACGAGTCCTGCGCGCTATCCACCAGGCTACGAGGCCCCTACATGCACAAAATTGTAGTGCCTACTAAAACTCTTAAATACTAAAGCTTCTTACTGTAATTTGTTGTGTGGCTAAGTGAAGTTTATGTTGAACTTCAATAACCCAGTAAGAATCTTATGATCAAACATTAAAATAACAAGTATACTGTATAGTACTTTTGAGTTATTTTAGTTATGGTAATATAGCAATCCTTCTCTAAATGGTCTAACAATCACACCCCTTCAGCTGTAAAATAGAAATGACACTCATAATATCTTTAGAAATATTAAATAGAAAGTTATGCTTGCATCAAATGAAAGCATCTGTTCTTCGGAGAGTATTAAGTTTTTTACCTGAGTATGAAACAGCTGTGTATAATCTGTTGGCACCTCTTCTGATTCCTGAAGGCAAGTACGAAGACTCTCTGCAAGTGATGCAGTATCTGGTGTCATGTTGTAATCAGAAATCTGAAAAAGTAAAGGTTTGAGCATATATAAGATGCACATTTCTGAGTAGAATAATTAAATTGCCCCTTAAGATTTTCTGAGTTGAAAACTTTGAGTTTTTCAACAGGATTGTAAATAGTAAAGGCAGTATAACATTCTGGCACCAAGCAGCACAAAATTGTCAAACATCCCTGCAGATTTATATAATGTGCTTAGGGCCATAATAACTGACAAAGGATACATCTGTGTAAATTTGAGTCTTTTTCAAGTCATGGGGGACCAACAACATAGTAGCCCATACTATCCACTACTAGAAATGTACATGTTTATCACTTAGAATGTTTGGTAATACTGTATGCTTATTGTTTGTGATGTGTCTATATATACTGTATATGAATTCGTACTGAATAGGGTGAGAATAGCTGGAGCTACCTCATTCTTTTGTGAGTATTTAAACCTCAATAAGCTTATTTCAGTTTCAATTCACAAATCCCCTACCACGAGGCAGCATCATGTGCAACTGAGGGTTCCCAAGATTTCCAGCTCCCGACATAATCCCTGATATCTGAAGCTAACACTGAGAACAGGAGAGTTGGGACAGAAGAGAGGGAAGATTGGGCGGGATGTGGGGCTAACAAAATTTTCTACTCGGAGAGGCACATATACTGTACATCACATTCAGGTGCAGAAGAGTGTAGATAAACACCATTGAGAAAGAGAGATTATGGGGACTTTTGCCTTTTTAGCTGTGATTTAGAATTTCACAGGGCTAAGTTCTCTATGTCTTGTATAAAATATTGACACAAGAGACTTCAGCAAGCATGAAGTAAAGAAAATATTGTCTATAAAAATCAAAGACACACCTACAAAATCTTTCCACTTTTGAATAATGAGGCACAAAAATTGTAAAATAAGGATCTTCAATGGAATATCATCACATACAGCTATCTTAGTGCTACAATACTGTTCTTATAACAATTTGGGGAATATTTTTATGGCAAAAATCTAGAATTTTGTTGGAACATTTTTCAAATGATCCAACTACAACTTATGTAAATATTATTAAATTTAATCTTGATGGTTTCTGTAATTTAACTCCTTAACTGCTGTATTCATAAAACTAGTATGGGTCAAAATTTTACTTTTTAATTCAAGACAAACTAGATGAAAATAAATATATATAAACCTCTGGATCATCAGCATCAATCTGATTTAGCTTGAAATCCTTAGCTGTAAGGAACTGGAATATCACATCTTTGATTTTGCTGTTTTCTTCACGGTCAATGTAATAGTCCGTAAACATGTGAGCCGATCCCAAGACTGCCACGCGACCGTTACTCGTAGGGTGTTCATAAAACGCACACACCTGCAAGAAGAGCAATATGCAGTTGATTTGTGTTCTGTAAATAATCAGTTAATAATCTGAACTAAATAATAACTAACTTTACATTGTTCAAATTGCTATCTGCAATTCCCCCTTGTGCTCATATCGCCATATGTGATCGATCCTTACAGGTTTCCAACATTGTGTGCTCACCTAATTGTGCTTGCGGGGGTTGAGCTTTGGCTCTTTGGTCCCGAGAGGATCTTTGGTCTCTTTGTGTCGGCACACCTGGATGTAGGACTTTTAAATAAGCTTAGTAGTTTAAAGATTAATATTCATACATACATTTTTTACTGCACCATTTCCTCCCTTTCATTTGGTGAAAAAGGTATCCAGTCTGTGGGGTTCAGGAGAGTTGGGTATAGTAGTGAAGATCATCAGCTGGGCAACGGTCGGGTGAATGTAGTGATGTTATGATAAAGGAGATTGTGTGTAGTGAGATGTTACAATGATGGGGATTGTGTAGCAATTTTTTTTTTTTTTTACCTAAGGGGCCACTATCTCCCTAGTGGCCTTGATGGGGACAGAAAGCCAGCTGGTTGTCAATGTCCCCTTCTCCTCTCCCCATTATTCCTGAGGATTTTTACAATGATAGGGATTGTGTAGTAATTTATTTCTTTTACCTAAGAGGCCACTATCTCCCTAGTAGCCTTGATAGGGACAGAAAGCCAGCTGGTTGTCAATGTCCCCCACTCTATCTCTCCACATTGTTCCCGAGGGTTTTTTATATCTGGATTTCAAACTGGAGTTATGTCTTGGCATTTACAGCTTTAGTTGGTAGGTATTTCCATGGGATTATTGCTCTATGGGTGAAAGAGCATCTCGTGTTTTCTGTCCTACACTGTGACTTATTGAGCTTGAAGCTGTTGCCCCTTATATGCATTACATTTGATCTTTTAAAGAAGTGATCTAGCTTAATATTCTCAAATGTGTTCATTATTTTAAAGGTCTTGATGAGATCAGCACTGTCATAGACTGGTTGGCAGTGTTGTTAGTACTGAGGTCCTCAACCATTCTTGGTATGAGAGTTGACTTAGTTGTGTGTAGCAAGAAATTACAACAGATATTGTAGGTAGTTAATGACAGAAATTGTGCACAGGGAAGTTGTTACAATGATGGAGGTTTTCTATATTGATGTTATAATGATGGAGGGCATGTGTCCTTTGTAGGAAGATCCTATGAAGGAAGATCCTATGAAGGAGACGTGTCTGAAGAGGTACATTACGGATTATTGTGTGTGCGCGCGTTACAAAGATGTACCCAGTTGGGACACCACTGGCCTGCTAGATTTTGTCCATTATTTACTTTTCAACAAAACACCTCTATTAATATAAAATATTTTATGCAACCAGAAATTAAATTATCCTCCTTACTTTAAAAATTTTTCCAAATCAATCATAAAACAAATGAAAAGCATTGGTTATATTTGTAACAACTATGTCAAAAGTACCAGATTAATTAAAGAAAGAATTCTGACAGAACTGCAGACTAGGGTTAGCGTGCTCAATCAAGTTCATGCAGTTTAACAATAATAGCATTATCACCAAGTCATGTACCTGTAGCCAACCTAATCCTGGATTGCAAAAGAGGATAGCATCAAAATCTATTTTGAAGTGATATCTAGACTTTTATTTTTGTTAATGCAGCCACTCATTACCTGGAAAATATAAAAGAAAAAGGAAAAAATATGTCCAAGCGTAATTCATTTGTAATATGTTTTTTAATGTACCCAAGTGTACATAGATACTTATGATTTGGTAGATAGGTGCAAGTAATTTTTAAAAGAAAATGCAAATCCAGAATGGCAATATATAGCACTGAGTGGTGCAAGTACACATAAGATTAGAAAGTAAGGAGTAAACAATAAACAAATATTCTATTATCATTAAAGCCGGCTTCCCTGAGGTGTGATCAATGACATGCAGTACGTGAGTGCAAAGATAGAAAAAAGGAAAATTCTTACTGGTCTGTTAAGAGGAAAAGAAATACTGCCTGTGGACAGCACAGCAACAGCAGGACGAGCAACATTGAGGGTAGCCCCAAATGGATATATGAAGGACATCGACCTGGAAAAAGTAAGCACTAATTAAATAGAATTATAAACTAGATAAATTAATTGACTACAAAGTGCAAGTAACATGATTGTGATAATATTGTTAATGAAAGAAAGTGCAGTCAGAATCCAACAGCTGTCCCATGGCCCACTTCTTTACAAGTTGATAAAACAATAAGCTCTAAAAGCATGATCAAAAAGATTCAAAATATTTACAAAACATCTACCATTTACATTGTTTAAGATCTAAACCAAAGTATAATTTAATATTTACAGTGTGTGTGTGTGTGTGTGTGTCAAAGGCCAGAGGTAATAAAAGTTGTGACGATGTTGACCAGACCACACACTAGAAGGTGAAGGGATGACGACGTTTCGATCAATCGACTTGAGAATGGTCCAGGATGGACCGAAACGTTGTCATCCCTTCACCTTCTAGTGTGGTCTGGTCAACATACTTTAGCCATGTTATTGTGACTCATCGCCTGCAAAAGTTGTGACCTTTGACCTACATCTGGCCACTATTCAAATAGAGTCCAAGTGTTAAATGCAATTTTATGTTAACTACAAGCAATTTTATTGAATAAATGGCTATTAGCTAAATGTATGACAAGCAAAAGTTTGCAATATCTCATTTTTTAAATACTCATAATACAAATAAAATCCATATAAAAGATTAAGATATAATCATATTGTGAAACAGCCTTGAATGCAAATTAAGCCAAATACTGTATGACAATAACAGGACACAGCTATGTAATATCCTTTAGAAGAGGTAAAAATATTGCACGCAAATTATCAAAACGAACAATTACAGGCATACTGTGTTTTCAAGGGGAAGGTGCATTCCTGGAAATGTATGTGTGTATGTGCTGACTGAATCCATCCCATAAGGGGTCATAATTGCATAGTCTACATGGAGATACATTCCCGACAATGTAATATATTATGGCCAACATATTAGGTGTTTATTGGGCCCCCGTAAACAAAGTAACGTCTGGCTATAGTTTCTTCTTATACTGTTCATATAATAGTTACACACTTCCTCCCAGGTTACACTATGTTTATGATGGCTTTCACCATGTTTAAGGACTTCCACCAATATTACTGATCTTTACTATGTATTCCCCTTGACCAGTTCCTTGAAGATACTGTATGAGCCTCAGTTATCCGAAGCCTGCTGAACCATTGGGCCACTGGATACCTGGAGAGGGTTTCGGGAGTTCTTCTACTACCTGAGCCCGGCCCGAGGCCAGGCTCGGATATTTGGGTTATTCAGTAAAAATCGCTTCCTCGTAATTTTCTGATAAAACTTCACCATATTCAAATAGAAATCTGGATAACCGGAGATTAGGTTATGTAAATTTTCAAGAACTACACATCTTAAAAGCAAACAAACAAGACAAAAAACAACAAGGTAAGCTAAAGTTTCTGTTTTAAATTTTATTTTTTATTTATAGTGTGTGGAAAATCGAATTATGTTGGCTGTGATACAAAAAATGTTGAATATGGTCATTTTTGGACTTCCTTGGTAAGAATTCTGCTTATCCTCTGATTTATTTGGTCAGGGGTTCTTCCCATATAGTCCAGATAAGCAAGCTTAGACAGTACATCACGGATAGTATAGTTTGAAATTTAGTAGGATAGTTACCAGGCACAATGTGTATACTAATATCTCCAACTATGTCATGTTGCTGATACTATACTTAAATGGTGGATAGTTCACTAGTAGCAGAACAATAATTGCCTGTCCATGGTGACCCCCAATTATTGTCTGAAGTGAGAAGTTTGATTCGGTTCCTTCGTATTTTAATGAGCAGCAACTCTGGTGGTGGATTGAGGTAACTCTATGCTGTCTTTTCTCCACAACTATATGGCACAAAATATTTCTTGCCATGTTAGGGAAAATGTCAATTAGAACCTGCCATGTGAGCAATTTCCTGGGTGGGTGGCCCATGGTGGCTAGGTGAGAAATCATAGGGGCCTTGTTCAGAAAGCACACTGTTAAAAAAATCAAAATGAATAGTAGATTAAATAAAAGATAAATATAACATAACAAGAATTACTATTTTAAATGGAAAATCCAGAAGGTAACAGAGAAGTTGTTAAATGATGGTACAAGTTCCATATTAAGATAAAATAGCAAAGCAGTGATTGACAAGCAAAACCACAAACCCATACATATTATGGGACTCCTAAATGCATAGATATTAGAAATATTAAAGTAATAACATGATATACGTGATGACATCCATTAAATGCTGACCTGCCGGATAGTGTGTCATCAAGGAGCAACCCAGGAATATTCTTTCCCGAGGCTTCCAGAATGGCTCTGTTAAGGATTCCATTAGTAATAAGGCATTCTTTAGGATGAAAGTATTTGTAGTAGCAAGTCCGCACCACTGAATCTGAAAGAATAATAGCACTCTTTTTAACAAAACTGAAAATCATACCTGTACAGGTATTTATATATCATCAATGAACTTATTTAAAAATAAATGAATGTGAAAGAAAGGTGACTAACTTCTATAGAAAATATAAAACAGCACTTAATTTTAGAGGCAATTAAGAATAAGTAATTAGCAGAGATAATTAAAAAAAATATTTCTTCAGATCCTTAACCTCTTAAAATGCACAAGCATTATAAGAAGTATTTCCTGTGGGTGCATGGATTTTTTTTTTTTTTACTAAGGCACAATTTTTGTTATAAGCCATCCTTCACATAATACAGAAAAATAGCATCTCCACAATTTGTGCTTTCCTCCTTAAAGTCTAATATATTTCTGTATCAATTTCAAAAGCTTAAAATATATCTCACAGAGAAACTAGAGGCATATTATAAGTAAAGATGAATCTCACCATTATTCACAGATATACTATATTCTTCTAAAAGAAAATTTATATTTGTGTTGGCTTTCTTTTCTCCTCCTTCCTCAGCCATAACCAAAAGGCTTCCACCTTCCTCCACATGGCGCCTTAATATAGAAAACTGGACCTCTGTTAGTCTCTGACGAGGACAGGCAAAAACAATCACTCCTGCCTGGCCCAAATTTTCCTTAGTCAGGTCATCTCGATTACTGCAATATACAAATGATTATACAGTATATAAAGAAAGTAAAAAAAAATACTAATTCTACATATAATAAGATAATCTATTAGTCATAAGGAAGCATAATTCAGGATAATTTTGAAAATTGTTGTTCAGATTTTAATAATACCCAATCCTCATGTTCCAAATACGGTGCAATTGTTAATTCAACAAAATGGTAGTCACAAAACTATTTGCTCTTAGTTACAGCTATGAAAATTGATAACAAAATTAAGCATAAAATATAATGAAACACCCTTTTTTTGTGCAGCTTCAGTAGCTCCCTGATGTATTGCCTCTGGTGTTACAGACACATTTGCAAAATGAACAAACCTCTGAACTTGCAGTCCTTATAAACACCAGGATCAAATATACAATCTATTCACCCTACTCTGTCTTGTCTGATCTTGGTCACCCGGTCACTGAACTCGATAAAGAGTTTGTGAGGCAAGATTTGCTATTCCTGAACCAACATTGGTGATGCATTATGAAGGCTTTTCTCTCAAGATGCTCTACGAGCATCTTTATTATGGTAATTTCCATTATCTTGGATGATGTGTAGTTTAGTGCCACCTTCCTGTATGTCTTTCCATTTTGTTTATTAGCACTACACTGACTGTTCTTCAGCTTTGTGGTAGTTTTCCTGTTTCCAGTGACTTGTTATGTATCATAGTAAGTGGCCAGCACAAGCCTTTGAATCCTTCTCATAGTACTAGTATTCATGGCAAGATTCCACCACCTTAGTTATGTCCTGCTCCAGCAGGTACCTTCTTACTTTGTAACAACCAGGAAAATTTCTTTCTCTCTTCATCTATCCTCCCTCACCCTTCCATAATTCTTCTCCCCTCCTTGAAGTGTAGGAGTCAGGTGGTTCCTCCATCAGTTACGAGATCAGGCTGGATAAGCACTTGTCAAACAACTTTAATGAAAATTCCTGAGTATGATGATTTCAAGATGAACGGGGGAGGGGGGGTTGTAGACTGGGGTCTATGTGATTATTGTGTATTATGGTCTATGTGATTATTGTGTATTATACATGCTTGTGATTATTGTATACCCTGTATTATACTGTATATGCTTATGATTATTGAATATATAATATATATATACAGTAATATACTACACTAGAATATAATTAATATTATATATGACTAAGATTATGATTACCTGAGAACTTTCCATTGGGTCTTAAGTTTCCGATGAAGAGTCTTGTATCCATCACTGAGTTTGAAGAGTTCTGCTTTTGATTCATTAAAAAGGATAGTATTGCTTTTCTCCTTTATTTCTATATCAGCTTTCTGGAAAAGAAGACAAATATGAAGCATTCCCATATCAGTCAACCTGGTCAGGAAGTGAAGTTACAAATCAAATAAGACTAATTAATCCATCGTTAGTGCAACACAGTGTTCATTGTAGACAATTCTGTTCTACACTGTGAACAATTTTGTTCAAGAAAATCTAAAAATGAGTTTTTGAGTTTGAAATAACAACAGTTAAACTGTATCAGTTTACTAATATACAGTATTCTTAATATGTGGAAAGTTATGCTAGGTTTTATCAGCAAATTTTCAGATAAATATTTATTTAATGGACAACATACAAGGAAAAAGGGTGCATGTAATTAAACTAGTACTACCTAAATATTCTGTATAGGGTATAGGTCTAGAGTAAAGTATTATAATGACAGGAATAGGGATGGCAGTGATATCAATGATGCATCTAACCATATTAACAAACCATTTAATATTGTTACAAAAAACTGCTGCCGGTAGCAAGTATTTATTGTACAGTATAAGGTTAAGTGAAAGGAAGTTAATGCTAAAATAATAGTACAGTATAAGCTTAAAATAGGCTAAAGCTTTGAATAAGTGTACTACAAATGATGATCCAATTAATATTCCTGGGTGATAAATTTATCACCCAGGTGTTTATCAATGCAGTAGCTAATTTCCAATATCTAATAAATATTTTTGTAAATAGCCTCGTTAAAATGGTTGGTAACTACTATACTGCTAATACTTACGGCAGTAGGAGCCATAGGTTCATTCCAGGGATAGGAGCGTGGGGGGTGAAGCACCAGCGAGTATTGCTCTCCCTATTTTATATTCAGTCTGCTTGAAGGTTTCTGATACCTGTCTGGGGTAGCTTCAGTGATGCTGGTAGGGCTTAGGCCACCCAGCTCTCAGGTAAGGTGGGTCAGCACTTGAGGGGACTCTGAATGTGTTTTTATGAGCTTGGTCAGTATTTGAGGGGACACTGAATGTGTTCTCCCAGCTCGGTCAGCACTTGAGGGGACACTGAACGTGTTCTCTCAGCTTGGTCAGCACTTGAGGGGACACTGAATGTGTTCTCCCAGCTCGGTCAGCACTTGAGGGGACACTGAACGTGTTCTCTCAGCTTGGTCAGCACTTGAGGGGACACTGAATGTGTTCTCCCAGCTCGGTCAGCACTTGAGGGGACACTGAACGTGTTCTTCCAGCTCGGTCAGCACTTGAGGGGACACTGAATGTGTTCTGCCAGCACTTGAGGGGACACTGAACGTGTTCTCCCAGCTCGGTCAGCACTTGAGGGGACACTGAACGTGTTCTCCCAGCTCGGTCAGCACTTGAGGGGACACTGAACGTGTTCTCCCAGCTGGGTCAGCACTTGAGGGGACACTGAACGTGTTCTCCCAGCTCGGTCAGCACTTGAGGGGACACTGAACGTGTTCTCCCAGCTCGGTCAGCACTTGAGGGGACACTGAACGTGTTCTCCCAGCTCGGTCAGCACTTGAGGGGACACTGAACGTGTTCTCCCAGCGTGGGAGGCTGGAGGTCAGGTGTTGGCTGGAGGTCAGGTGTTGAGTGCAGGTTGCGAGGGAGGCGGCGTGAGTGTGTTGTTGTTGTTGTTGTGAATGCGTGGGAATGTGGTGTAGTGAGGAGCGCGTGAGGCCCTCAGAACCCCTCGCGGCCGCAACACCACTCGACCCTAGAACCTCCATCACCATTTTTCCCCTCGCACGCGCCTCACACGCCCCTCATCAGCCCGTGTACCCCTCGTCTGGCCACACCACACCCCTCTGCACCTCCCAGGGGCGTCTCCGAGGCCAGTCATCGCCGTGAGCGGCCGCGGCAGGGAGACACACCAGCTGATGAGTCCTTTGTCAAGAGTCGGGTGCGCCATGTTTATTTTAGAGCAGTTGGGGATTGTTCTCGCCAATTACCAGTGTCAGTGAGGACTGCCGCAGTGACGTGCTTTATGACTCCTCACTAACTCTAGCGCCAGCTCTATAGGTAAGCTCTACTCACTAATTCCTTGCCGAGGCGCGGCTACCACGGCTGCTAAACTGCTCACTTCCTTCTGTCAATTAGTGTGGCCAGTCTTACATTTCCGACTAATTATATCCCAGTTGCGAAGGCTTAATTATCCCCAAATGTCAATTGCAACGCTTGTTATTAATATAGCTGTTGTGTATTACTTGGAAAGATGGAGAAAATGTGCGTTGCATTAGTGGCAAGTTGAAAAAATTGCAACTCAGCATCTTCATCTGTAGCAGGAGATAAACTTGCTTCAAGATGCAACAAATGTCTTGGGTCTGGTTTCAGCCTTAGTGTACACGGCTCTCACGTCTGGCGTAGGTTACTGATGTGATGAGGGAATATTACCTTGAAATTGGGATAATATAAGGACAGGGGACAGTTGATAGTTAAAGATATAAGCAGTGTCAGATGTTGATATCTTAGTTCCATATTTGATATATCATTTGTTGCATATATTTATATGTATATAAAAGAAAATGCTTTTGAAAGTAAAATATATATATATTGTTATATAGCTATAATATATATTAGTAGCCAGAATGCATATATATGCAAGGCCCAATTTGCCTAATAAGTAATTATATATATATATATATATATTATATATATATACATATATACCTATACACACACACATATACACTACACATACAATATTTTAAATATGCCTACATTTGTGTATTTTGTTGAATGGGGTCTCATCATCTTGTAATTCTCCATGAAATTTGTATGTTGGACAACCACTTAATTCTTGAGTTAATTTTATGTCAAGAATGCCTGTCATGTTTTTGTTAATAGTCAGGCGGTAGATGGGCAAAATTCCAAGTCATTGTTATTTTCAATTTGATGTCCTGTGCTCTGGGGTTGGGACCACTCGAGCGGAATACATACATAGTGAGAAAATAAAATGAACAGCCATTTATGTGGGTTGTGTATTTTAAGAAATAGAAAATAAGATTTGTTTTATTAGATTGTAATAGCAAGTTTAAAGTAAGATTGTGTCACTATTTCTGACATTTTGAGTTGAAATTTCATACGGAGCTTCCTCATTATGCAGACAGTGAGTCACAATAACATCGCTGAAGAAATGATGACCAAACCACAGCTCAGAAGATGGAGAAGCAACAACATTTTTGTCCATCCTGGACACAATTTGATAATGGTTCAGGACGGACTGAAACATCGTCACTTCTCCATCTTCTGAGTTGTGGTTTGGTCATCCTTCCCCAATTTGTTTAATTAATATTTAGTTTAATTCAGTGTTTCCTATGCAGATGCATAATTCTACTATATCATTGGTTATTAACACGTGTTCTCAGTACAAGAAGCCTATACAAGGTATTTATTAATGTCCCTCTAAGCCAATAACTGACCTTTCCAATGATGCAATCCATAATAGTTGCCTAGCTCCTTGGTATCTATTTTGCTACTAGTCAAGCAGAGGCATCAAGTGAAAGGAAACTTGCGATTGAACCTATGTCTCTCAGCTGGAAGACGAGGATGTAGACCACTGTGCTACCAAAAGGCATCAGCAGTACCAAAAAGCTATTTGGGAAAGGATATGTTAGGTATGAGACAAGGTCTCAGTGTATCCGTAAAGTATGATCATTCAGCCTTGTCAAGAAGATTGAGGTTAACACTTGATTATTGGACAGCAAAAATGAAAGAAATGAAGGAAATATTTTAAATTTTTAAACTGAGTAACTTTATTGTGGCCTAATTTATAATGTTGCTAAAATTATCAGTTTTTATTACTTATGATGATCAAAAGCAAATATGTTTAATTATTTCTTTGGGAAAAACCTGTAATTTGGTTGAAAGATGTGAAATTTACTTGTAAACTGAACCTAGTCTGTAGATGCAATACTTACCAATATAAAATAGAGTAAGACTCCGTTCAAAGAGCCAACAATTTTATGGAACTGGTCACTGGATGAAAACGAATAAAAGCTCCAGCAGAGTGGGGTCATGTCCAACTAGGTGGCATTATGTAAAAAATATAGTGATGAAAAACTGAAAAATACAAAACCAAAAATATACATTTTTATCATATAATTGTGGTCAAAGAGCACTTTGGTATTAAGGTAAGATAAAGTTCATATATCATTGTTCAGCAAACTTCTTGTAACGCATTAAACAAATTTCAGAGTCCTATATTGCCCTTATTTATCACTTGAAAGAAAATTTGTTGTCCTTGGTTATATTTCATGTCTGTATTGTGTTCTAGAAATTGCTATTTAAAGTCCTCTAAGTCTTGTTTTATTTTTGTTTTTTCAGACTCCTTTCTGCACCCATTGATCTTGCTAACAATACTTCTAAGGTATTTAGAGCTGATATTTTGTTTATCTACTTAGATCATAGGTTTTGAATATGATTTCCCTCTCCTTTTTGGTTTTATTTATTGTTGTATATCCTTTTTTGAAAGTTTAGTGCAATATCAATTTAAATTTGAAATATTAAAGCAGCTAAAAAAGTCAAGCTTTGAATAAAATTAAAACTTACTTGAGTCAGTCATTTAGTTGCTTCCTAAGGCAAAGAATTGCCTCTCTCTAGGACAGATCTACTGCTTAGTCGAGATAAGTCAGTATACTGCATCAGCACAGCAAGTAACTTTCCAAATTGTCTCTACGTGGTCATTTTGATGCAGGAACTACCATGGAGAATACTCGATCCAGCTTGGATTAAATGCTGGAAAGCACATTCCAAGAATCTTAGTCTTTCCAATTACAAATTGGGACGTATAAAACAGCTTCCATTCCTCCTAAAAAGAGAAATAATTTCCCTGTAGCCAGGAAAAGTAGGGAACCTTCTGCCACAGTCAGGTAGCAGACAAAGACCTAAACTCAGAATGAGCAGGGTCGATTTCAGCACATGGTCCCTTCACCAAAACAGAAACAACAAAATCCCAATGAGGCTGACTATCAAATAGAGAGAATAAGATATCTGTGAAACACCAGAACATAGGTGTAGTATTAACTAAAGGCATGGAGAACAAGACTAGGGCTTCTCTATACATTCTTTAAAGGTGCTTAAAGACTGTAAAGGGCAGCTTAATAAGGCCATGTCTTGCATACAATACAGTATTTAATAAATAATTAAAGTAGAGAAGTTTTAGAACAGTGAACAGAGGCATCAGGGTGAAAGAAACTGCCCATTTGTTTCCACCTCCGCCGGGATTGAACCCGGAACGTTAGGACTACGAATCCTGAGTGCTGTCCACTCAGCTATCAGGCCCCCAAGGGTGAAGTTGACTGTGAACTTAACCGGGTTAATTCAGTAGACAAAAAGGATGGCCTTCCTGGTAAAAAAAACTCCATAGAGCATTCTCCTGCCTGCACTAGATCGAGTTACATTATTGCAACACTATGTACTTGTTCACTATGGCACTACCCTGTATGGTAGTGCCATAGCAAATAAGTAATAGTAAGCAAAACAGTGGCCCTAGCCACAGATAGATTCCAGAACCTCTGTTACAGACACTAAGCAGCATGTATGAAGAAAAGACTTTGTTGCCAAGGGAAGAACGTTACGCAAACCTATATTTAATCTTGTTGACAACAGATAAAGATCAGTGAGAGAAGCCAGTGATACAAAAATAATACAGTATGTTCTGCCAAGGTCTGACCTGATGCGGTCAATTGCCAATGTGGTGTGATCCTCACATCTCAAAGGACCTGACCTCCAGTAATCCCTTGAACCACCATTTGCTGTCTTCACAACTTGAATCACAAACCATTAGTCATTCACTCTTACTCGTATGCTGGAAGGACTTAAGAAATTTTCTACCTAAATATTTTAGGTCACGAAACCTGGTGCATTATCAAATTGTCTTCTTAATGGTCCAGGATGGACTGAAATGTCATTAGTTCTTTTATTTTCAGATTTGTGGGTTTGGGTGTTTATGTAGAGGAATAGGGAAAATTCAGTATAAGATCATAAGAATAATAATTACGAGCACCATAGTAGGCAAATCATGTTGAAATTCATCCCCACTCAACTATATAACTATCCAATCTATTCTTGAAATCTTTAAACTGACTCGGCAATGCTAGTTGGTAGCCCATTCTACTTATCCACAACCATATTTCAAAACTAGTACTTTCCAATAACCCTCTTAATTAAAACAATATTTCTCCAGTATTTACCCATAGATGTAGGTTCTGACCTGTATCATCAGTTGGAGGTGGACTGATATTTTATTTGGACCAATAACAATACTCCCTTAATATTTGGTACTGATACCAATGCTTAATATATTTTTAAATATTAGAACTTATTAGGATATACTATCCAAACCAGACATCAGAAAAAAGGAAGAAACGACAATGTTTTGGCCCAGGACGGATGGACCTAAACATTGTTAATTTTCAGATGTGTGGTTTTGATATCATATCTTCAGCCTCGTTATTGTAACTCATCACCTGCTTACAGTATTAGGATATAATGCCGGACATGAGCTCAGGGTTTGTAAACAATGACTAATTAGTAAATTGAAAAATCAATATCCCTCAATAATTATACTGTAATAGTATAATGATTATAGCATAACTATTTCCGCAAACTTCACTAAATGGAGTCCC